CTTCCTCCACGTTCTTTTTTTTTCAACACGGGTTGCGCGCAGCTGGGCCCCGCAGGCTCGTCCGTCACAAATCATCCGGAGGGCGCAAGTATCGAAGAGCGCGCGTAACCTGAAGTCACATTGTGTCAATATATACGTATATATACATATGAAAACGCAAGAAAAAAAATTCAGAAAAAAAGACTCCGCCACGTGTAATCGTATGTGGGATCCACGCATCGTCAATACGAGGCGTTAACCACTGAGCCACAGAGAGGTGCCTCCTTCAACGTTCAAAAGGCAAGCTTTTTATGCCTAGCATTTTCCGCTGCTGCCAGACGTCTCGCGGGCGACCTACCGTGTTTTCAGCATTATCAGCAAGAGTGCGAAAAGAGCGCGTCTCTCATGCGTACTTTGGCCTATGGAGAGGAGGATAGTGGACAATCTCTCGAGCGCTCATATCTCCCGGTGGAGAGGATCATGCGTCTTTAGTGGCGGTGGGCTTCACTGGAGTGATTTTGTTGTAGTTATGGGGCGCACAAAGGTTCCTGCAATTGTTTTCACAGCCTTTCTTTGCGAAAAGGACGCGCTTCTCGGACGCAGCGAAGTAACACCTGAGACGCTTACATTTCGTGCGTCATTTGTGCGTGAGAAACGCTGGGCACGTTTCGATCTGCTTTCCATTCTGCGCGTGACTTTCCAATTTGTTGCTTTCATGTTCATTGCTTCGCCTTTGCGGCAAAGCTATTAATTTTTTCAATTGATCACCTGAAATATTGATACACAACATTTGCAACCTTCGCCGAGCACGGTGCATCGTATTTAGTTTATTAAATAATTTACCCGTAACATTATGTTAGTAAGTTGTTCTTCAGATCATCGTGTCGAGTTGTAGTCAAGTCGTAAGTTTCGAATATTACCCTTAACATAATTGTGTGGCACCCATTCAAATGATTTGGAAAAGCCATTGCAGATGGCGTCAGTGTAATGTTCATTGTGTATACAAGTGACAAAAACTGTGAACTTCATACAGTTGAGTTTAACATGAACAATTCTGTCAGAATGAATGTTGATTATTGTGGACCAAGTTTTTTTTGTTCAGATGAGCTATAATGCGCGTCTGGAAAATGTGCTCAAGCAGTTTGCAACTGATGTATGTTAGACAAAGTGGTCTGTAACTTGTAGGGGCCGCAGTGTCAAAAAACTTGAAAACAGGTAAAAATAAAGGCGCAGATTTTAAATATACCAGTATACAACCTGTGTTCAGCGCCTGTATAAATAATTAGGATAGCAAAAGAGACGAGTAATTGTACGTAAATTTCAGTAGTAGGGCACCTTCTAAATTTGTTAGCGCTTTCCATATCATTCAAACTCGTGTCACTATCGGAAAGTAAAGTTTTGCTTGATTAAATTTTGGGATTGCCACTTGCGAAAACTTTTTCGGAATATTTTTTGGCATATTTGGTAACGCAAAGTTGAAAAAAATTGGCAGATTATATGTACAGAGAGAATTGATAATATACGAAGCACGAATGAAAGAGGTTGATATGTCACATTAGAATAAGCACAACGTTACGAGGCAGACGTAAATTATACCGTATTTGACTTCCGTGTCAAGATTGTCTTGTTTGCGCCTAGAATATATGTTCGTCATAGGTTTGTGTTTGGATACAGTATTCTAGGGACCCTAGTTTGGGGGAAGTTCTCGGAGGAAGAGACTTCGCACTCGCAGCCTGTTTGACTGAACTTGTCTGCTCAGCAAGGCGCGCACCCGCCACCGAAGCATCGAAATATCCAAAGATGCGCGTGCCGGCGAGCCGGCTCGGGTGGGTCGGGGAGCATGAAATATGCAAGTAAATACTTTTTTCGAAAAGCTGACTAAATATTAGATGTGCGCAAATTGTGCGAGGGCACAAATTATGTGCGTAAATAGAATATATTTTTTATTACCGCTTTGTAAAGTTTCGCTAACTAAAAGTTACAACACAGTCTTCTTCCAAGAGGATGCTTCACGTAAGATCAATTACCACGGTACCTGAAATCTTCCGAATTTTTTTAAAGCGCGGTAGTCCTTGCTGGGTTACTTCAACAAGGAATTTTTTGTCCGGCTGTCTGCCCGTTGGTCCTTCGTTAACCATTCAGCACCCCGGAAAAAATTTACCCTTCACTGTAAGCAAAAGTTAGCCGAGATGGGAGATTTTCCAGCACATGAGCCCACAAAACTCCCCTGCCCCAATTATTTACTCCCTGTTAGGGAGTGAACTCGGCACATGTCATCGTAAAACGCCCCTTCCTTAATCACAGAGTTCATGAACGACATGACCTTGTTCAACTCCCAAGGGAGTTTCAGGTCACGTGGTCACAAACTCCCTATAGGAGCTTTAAAAACCCTCTTTGAGCGTGACGTGTGTGTGTGTGTGTGTGTGCGTGTGTGTGTGTGTGTGTGTGTGTGTGTGTGTGTGTGTGTGTGTGTGTGTGTGTGTGTACGGGCATATGTTTCCACGTCGGTGTGAAACACGTGTGCTTTGTGTGGCTAATCCTGTAAGCATCTGTCAACAGCTAACGAAATTATAAGTGCAGCGAAGAATAGCAACGACCGGTTGGTATTTACTGGGAACGTTTCAATATATTTCGCACCGTTAAACTACGCTGCACGTCGGTCCGATTCCTCAACGAAACGTCGTGAATGCCGCGCTTCAAAGGGCCGAGTAACAAAAAACTTCGAAGAATAAATTAATAGTAGCAAAAGTAAGCTGTTACGATCGTCAGCGGCTGCTCCTGGAGTTTCACCATCAGAAACTTCGAAATGGTCTGAAGTAGGCTTCGCTCAACTACGGCAGGCTGGCCGGCAACCGGTCTGAGAGTTGCGCCGGCGACGCGCTCGCCCCGTCTCCGCCGATAGTGGCTTCTCGGAGTGTCACTGGTATTTCACCGGCTGTAACATCTAAGTGGTAAGAAGGCCTTGCTATGCCGTCGGTATCAAGCCGGCATCGTATCGAACTCGCACTGGGCGCCGGCCACCGCGGCAAGCGCTACGAGCTAGCACCGACCACCGGCGATGCAAAGAATGTGTTTCACAAAAAATGAAGGCTGCTGGGATGTATAACAGTCTTCTGCGCCTTGCGACCGCAGCTGTCAATGACTAACTACAAGGCGAGCGCCGAACGAGGCGGAGTACGATCGTCAGCGATTGCACCGTAAAACTTCGAAGCGGTTCGAAGTAGGCTTCGCTCGACTACGGCAGGCTGGCCGGCAACCGGTCTGAGAGTTGCGCCGGCGACGCGCTCGCCCCGTCTCCGCCGATAGTGGCTTCTCGGAGTGTCACCGGTATTTCACCGGCTGCAACATCTAAGCGGTAAGAAGGCCTCGCTATGGCGTCGGTAACAAGCCGGCATCGTATCGAGCTCGCACTGCGCACCGGCCGCCGTGGCGAGCTCTGCGAGCTATACATGCAATGCATGCGATCAACGAGAACAGCGACGGCGAACCGTCTCATTCGTTTAAGCTTATCGCTCCGTAGCTTAAACTGCGTGGATAGCGGACACCTATTTCTGTGCATGGGAAAAACGAGACGTAAACTGCACATCAGCAAGCATTTTGTGATCGCCAGCTGTCATTCATCGAATCACCGTGCCGTACTCGTGAGTGAGGCCTAGTCGTCGAACGCGGTAGCGGCGGTCTACCTCGGTTCATCGCTGGAGCTGCTAAATGTGCCTCGTTAATGTGTTCATTCAAGGCTGCGCGCACTTTGTGTATGATTCCGTGCATTTTACGGGTCCAGAAACAGTACTGCTAATGCAAATTCAGCCCGTACGACAGAGCGTCAACTGATGAAACTTTTTCGCTATAGTAGAAAAATAATAAATATTAGGCAGGCTTAGGATAAAAGGCATGTGTGTTGAAGTGCTTACATCAGACCACCGCAAGTTCATACTTACGCCGTGCGTATTTAATGCCTAATTAATAGCGAAAAAAGGCTTTCACCAGGGCTACAGGGGAGGTAAAATGTGGTGCATATATATACCCGGTGACTATATGCTTGGTGTACTGCGTGTGGCAAGCTGTGGTGAGTGCGAGTGGTGTGATATAACGTGAACATTGTGATAATGTTTGTGTACTGTAATCATTGTAGTGCGCATTAAATGTTATGTAATTAAAGTTACGCTTCCGCATTGTACGGCTGCTGACGTAATTTTTTTCTTTGTCGATGCAAAAAATTTACTCCCATACTGACCTGAGAAATCCCCCAATGGATGTAAATAAAAACCCCCCTGGCACCATGCAAAAACCCCCTACTGATGGGGAGTAATTTTTTTACTCCCAACGGAGCTGTTTATAAAACTCCCATCGGGGCGTGCGCTAGAGGACAAGGTCATTTACTCCCATCTCGGCTTATTTCTGTTTACAGTGTTTGCTCAAAGTCCAACCATCTTGATCTGGTGGCCGAGTCATACTTGTGAGCGATGTGAATCAAAAAAGCAAATATTACGCATATCCAAGGCGGACCTTAATACGTAGGCAATGAGTAGTGTGTCTCTTTATTTACAAAATGCATAGATACGTAAATACCGCAGTGCTTATTACGCTGCGCTGACAATGTGACGCTATGAACCAAAAAGAGGTTGTTTCCTACGCTTCACTGAAACGATCCGGTACGGCCGCCCTCCAGTATCTCTGCGTTCTAAAAAAAAATTCGTTTTTTCACCGATGGCGCAATATCTCACGCAGCGCCTCGAGACAAAAGAATATTGCCTTTTGACGTCCTTTGCAGCCAAGCACGCAAATACGCGGTGATTCGTTTTTCACCATTGAGCGCCTTTGCAGTTGTTAGTCGGCGCTTGGGGTGTCTTGATTTCCTTCTTCTATTTGGGTGTGGACATGCTGCTTTTAGGATGACTACTTACCAACTACTTCGCTCTATATTATTCTAAAATAGCCAAAATAAAGAACCATGAGTATGACTGCGAATGCAAAATACTAGATCATAAATATGGCGAATGGTGCCGAAAATGCTGACTCACTGCTCTTGTTTTGTTTGGTCTACTGTCGGAGTTGGGGTTTCTGTCGCGCCGACGACCTCGATGACTTCCAGCGACGCCGCCGTAAAGTGTTCGCTGACTGGTGGCAGCAGGCAGAGCGCACACTGCAGCACACACAGCAAAGCCAGGAAGGCTATCTTTGTCAGGTAGCTGAGCCGCACGAGTGCCGCCACGGCGACCAGCGCGAGCGCCGCCACACTGACGGAGTGGCGAGCAGTGTTCAATGAGAGGATTATGGGGGCCGACAGCTTCCCTTCGGCCGCACTACTTGGCTGAACAATGTCACTGCTGGCACCCAAGAGCTGCAAAAACATGAAGGAACAGCTGTCACAGCGAACAAGAGTCCCGATCCTTGTCATGCATTGCTTTTCTACGAGCGACGTTGTGCGGGTGTGGTGAAGTGCACGTGTTTTCAAATTACACGCCGTGACATGACATATAAGACAACGAAAAAGAAACCTGCATGGGTACTAAAGAGCAAAAATAATAAATACACAATACACCGATTGGAGGTGGCACGACAATCGTTAAGAAATATGCAGAGCGAGGGAGGGAAGCGAAGAGGTGGACCACAGGTCTTGGCCTTCGGGTATCGGACCCGGGTCAAGTCATCAAGCTTTGCTAACCAGTGCCCTGAGTGACCTCACGGGTTCCTACTGTTCCCGGCCATGGGTCAGCCGTGTGTCGTTGCTGGGCAAACGTTCTGGTGCCCATGGACACATCTGATCATAGAGATTCGGGCTCAAGCTCAGACGCTGCTCTCCGGCCGGAACACATCTTCAAGGTCGGTGATTTGAGTCCAGCGCCAGCAAATTCAGAAGGCTGCCCAATACAGCAGAGCTGCTCAAAGCCGACGCATCTTCCACCCACCTCCGTGTTTCGCCCCACAGCATCAAGAGCAACGTAGTGCCCGGTAATAAAACATTTCTTGTAAGTATAGAACCATGTTTCCCCTTCTTGTGTCCTGTTTCATCGCGCTACCAGTGTTGTCAAGTTTATTCAGTGCTTTATCAAGCAGGAATATTGCAGGTTTATAGACACCACATCAATGCAGCTTCACTGACAATCCTGGAGGCGGACCGCCAGTACTTGTGTTTTCTTTATCGAGCGTAAACTCGCAACCACTTACCCAAACCCTTAGCCCCCAAAATTGTGATGGAGAGAAGGTTTTAACGTGATAGCGTTAAGAGCTCGTTTGGTCCACTGAAATTTTGGAGCCGGTGTCGGTGTTGGCGTCGATGGATGTGAGCGAAAAACCGTCATCTTATGCGCGAAGAAAAAAATTGAGAAGAATGCAAATAATTAAATGATAACAAAAATTCTGGGTGACAATGGGGACCTAGTGTCACTGGCGTCCGTGTGGGCATTGAACATGAGTCGTTTGCATGATAAGTGGATGTTCTACCACACGGCCATGAATATGTTTGTGAATACAGTGTAAAGAACTTCCTCTACTAGAAAATGCAGTGAAAGTAGCTTTCATGCTTTACAAACACACTCGTCCTGTATACATACTTCACGATGCAACATGACATATTGTAGTAATAATGCGTGGTACAAGTGGCCATTGTGAGCAGGCGTCAGAACATGTGATTATTATAATTTTACATATTTATGCTATATATATATATATATATATATATATATATATATATATATATATATATATATATATCCTACTGAAACGTTCCGTATGAAATCTTACGGAAAATATATGGACTCCGTAACATTTCCTTATGCTACATACGGAAAAAATATGTGTGTGTGTGTGTGTGTGTGTGTGTGGGTGTGTATATGCGCATGGTTCTAACAACTTCCCCTGTACATTCCTTGGCATCACTGTCTGTTAGATCTCATTATTATTGTGTTAAAACACGGAAAAACGAGCCCTTAGATATACAATTCTTTCTCTAATTTCATTGAACGAGGGTCTCGTACTGGCAGACTTGGTGTGTTTAGGTTGTATACGAGGGACTATTGATCAGCTGCCCGCTCATAATAAGTTCACGTGCTATGTGACGCCAAACATGCGCATAAAAGAGTGTTTTCACACTCGTCGCTTGGCTTATAGATGGCGCTGACTGTCACTCCGACTTCCAAATTCACATATAAACCCAAAAACGTGGATGGAGGGAAGGCCGCTGTGGTAGCTCAGTGGTTAGAGCATCAAACGCGTTATTCGAAGGTCGTAGGTTCGATTCCTGCTCACGGCTGGTCATTTTTTCATCCACTTTTCTTTCTTCTCATTTACATTCTATTGGTTCTAATAACTTCCCCTGTACATTCCTTGGCAATACTGTCTGTTAGATCTCATTATTATTGTGTTAAAACACGGAAAACCGAGCCCTAAGGTATACACTTCTTTCCCCTATATATATATATATATATATATATATATATATATATATATATATATATATGTTTCCGTGTTTTTCGCTAGCCACCCGCCTACTCAAGAAGGTGGCCACGGGGTACCAGGGCATGCGAGAAGACAGTTTACTACGACTCACCCAGTCGTTTGCAGTCAGCCACATCTCTTACGTAGCGTCGTTCCACAATTGGAAAGCGGCGGAGAAGATCAAGATTGACGCGATGATCAGAAAGACGTACAAGACGGCCCTGGGCGTATACCCCCCACCGACACGGAACGCATGCTCGCGTTGGACGTTCACAACACGCTGGAAGAAATCGCAGAAGCCCAGCGAACGGCGCAGTATCACGTCCTGTCCCAGACCAGGACGGAAAGATCGATACTACAACGCATCGGAATCAACGCGCCAGCGACGACTCCGGAGGTACCAAAGCAGCTACCCCGGGACGTTCTCCAAAGACTGAGGGTTCCACCCTTACCGAAGCACATGCATCCGCAAGTACACCAAGAAAGAAGAACGGCGAGAGCCACGGCCCTCACAAAAGGTCACGCCAACGATCCGCGCGCGTACTACGTGGACGTGGCAAAGTATCTCCACCGGCCTAGCACGTACGCAGCAGCAGTCATCGAAGCAGACATTGGAGTACTCACAACGTCGGGAAGCATACGGTGCAAGTCGCCCACGCAAGCCGAGGAGTTTGCAATCGCACTGGCACTAGCGATCCCGGATAGCCGCATGGTCCTCAGCGACTCGAAGACGGCAATAGTCAACTTTGCTACAAACAACGTCCATGGAACCACTGCAAAAGTATGTTCAACTATAGCAAGACCGGAAACCAACATTACCGTCAAGTGGTTCCCTGCGCACGCCGGGGAGCTGGACGTGGGCCCGAACCGCAACGAGGAGGCAGATACGGAGGCACACGCGCTAACTAGCCGCGGGTCTCTGTCAACGCATTCCTCGGAGCCGCAACGACCCGATGCCGAAGACGGAGAGTATTTTATCGCAATCTACGCCGACGTTCTGCAGTGGTACAGAACGAGCAGACGCCTCTACCCACCGCCTCATCGAGACCTACAACGCAGAGAAGCAGCCACACTACGGCTGCGTCACTCCTACTGTCACTCTTACTTCTAAGTTCATATATAAAGCCAAAAAAGTGGACGGAGGGAAGGCCGCTGTGGTAGCTCAGTGGTTAGAGCATCAAACGCGTTATTCAAAGGTCGTAGGTTCGATTCCTGCTCACGGCTGGTTGTTTTTTCATCCACTTTCCTTTCTTCCTATTTACATTCCATTGGTTCTAATAACTTCCCCTGTACATTCCTTGGCATTACTGTCTGTTAGATCTCATTAATATTGTATATCTCATTAATATTGTATATATATATATATATAATATATATATATATATATATATATATATATATATATATATGTGTGTGTGTGTGTGTGTGTGTGTGTGTGTGTGTGTGTGTGTGTGTGTGTGTGTGTGTGTGTGTGTGTGTTTACGTACTTGATGGGTGTTCTGCATCATTCTGGCCGGGGCTCTGTCAGGCGTTCAGTTGCCTTTTCAGCAGCTCTTCCCATTCAACCACTTTATAAATGAATGTTCCGTGTTATCAATTGTGAATAAACATCGAACTTCAAACTTCAAAATAATGACTTCGTAGTTTAAAGCAAAGTGTGGGATTGGGCTAGTTGGTAATGCATTATTAAACTTCTCAAAGCAAAAACTTCCGACAACTACCACAAGAGACGAGGAAGAGCGCAGACTTTGAACTAAATTTATTACTATGACGCCCATATATATGTTACTAAAAGGCCATAAGATCACTTGCTTAAGCGGTAACCAAAAAACACAAAAACAAAAACCCAAGATCAAAAGTAAAACTAGACTACAAAAAAAGCACGTGCTCACCCCGAATCACGTGGCAAATTTAAAAACGCCAATTGTTTTTTATATAATGCTATTGATGGTTTGCTGATGCAGCTGCCTCGAGCGATTGCTGCAGCTTCGATTACAAGTTTCGTGCCTTCGTTAGGGTGGGACGCAAGAACGCTTGTCTTTTCGAACAATGGCTGTTCGAAATAAAGAGCACATTGCTTAATTGATTGGTTCATTCATTCAATAATTGATATTGTATGTGTACTGGATTTCTGAAATATTTTTTTGCAAATCTGACATGGTTGCACTTGGAGATATTTAAGCACATACTTCATGTGTAGCACCAACGTGCTACTGTGTCTAAGTCATCTTGTGATCGGCATCTGCGACTGAAATAATGTAAAGGTAGAAGGCGCAACCATCTTCGAATAGTTTTATGCAATATTTTATGTTATCTGCTTTATCGTTTATATACACCAAGTATAAAAGCGGACCCGAATTCCTTTCTTGTGGCACGCGTGAAGTCACGTAAACATATGAAGACGTTTTAGAAATCAGAACGTAGAATAAACAATTGTAGCGTGCTCGTTAACTATAAGCAGACAGTAAGTCTCTGTGTCCAACCGGAGTCTTCTCTCTCTTATTGTCCATTATCAGCGACTAACATATCTCAGTCGGTAACAGCAGTTTGTCACTGCGTGCTTTGCGCCTCCCCGGGTTTCTTTTTCTCCTGCGCAACGCCGCGATGAACGCCAGCGTAACGCTGCCACCAGTCTAAGCGCCCACTGCTTCGCAATCTACGCGCGGTTCGCTCTAGCAGGAGATGGTTATCTCGGTCCGGGCCCATAAGGTTAGGACCAGGCATGGCCCGGCCCATTTCAGCCAATTATGCATCGAACATAAACGTGGTGCCGCCCGATCTTCTTTTACTGCTAAGACACCTGCCACAAACAACACATTCTTAGAATATTTTAGGAATCTCTTTCTCTCTAAGCCGCAACGGAGCGAAATCGGAGTAAGTACTCGATTTCGTCCTTGCAACCAA